GTTCAGATGCCTACTGTAAGTCCCAGATTATTTGTGCTTCTGACCCACAGTGTATAAATTAAAGGTTCCCAAGACACTCCTCTGGTTAATTTGCTAGAATAGCACATAAAACTCAGGAAACCTATTTGTCTACTCAGCAGATCACTGATTTATTACAAAAGATACTGAAGGGTACAAATCAAGAGACAGGTGGAAGATATGCACAGGATAAGGTATTGGGGAAAGGTACAGAGCTTCCATGCCTTAGATCTTCACATGTCCACCAACACAAAAGTTCCCTGCAACCCCTTCACCTTGTGTTTTCATTAGAGGCTTCTTTACATAGGCATGATTAACTCCTTGGCCATTAGGAATCCACCTCTAGTCCTGCTCTCCTCCATGGAATCAGAGCATGGGTATAAAAGTCTCACCCTCTATTCATGCTGGTTTTCCAAGTATCCAGCACTTCCCCCCATCAGGTGAAGTGACATTACCTTCATTAACACAGACCTAACTAGAATACCAAGCCATTACTTAAAAGTTCAAGGCTCTGAAACTTACTCAGAAACTTTAAAGACCAAATATTACAACAAAAGATGATTGCATTGTTCTAATAGTTAGGGATAAAGATCTAATAAGTTTGAGAAATACTTTGGCTGCTTCAATGGTGTGCGTGTGTGTAGCATACATATATCACATATGTATCTCAATAACTCTAACTTGTACTTGGGTGTATATATATACATACGCAAATACATATAATATGCAAATATACCTAAGTATTTATAAAATACACAAATCACAATATCATATATTTACACAATGAATATTACTGAGCCATGAAACATGAGGAAATACTACCACTACCATTTGTGACACCATGGATGGACTCTGAAGGCATTTTGCTAAGTGAAATAAGTAGGAGAGAGAAATACAAATACTGAATGTCACTTATGTGTGGAATCTAAAACTAAACAAACCAAACTCAGAAAAAGAGGCAGACTTTTGGTTACCAGAGGAAGAAGGATAATTGGAGCAAGATGGTCAAAAGGTAGAAACTTTCAGATATAAGATAAACAAGTATTAGGGATATCATATATAAGCCAAGAAACATAGCTGACATTGCTGTACGATAATTACTACAGTGAAATTGTTGAAAATAAATTCTAAGAGTTCTTACCACAAGAAGAAAACATTTTTTCTTTTTTCTTTCCTTTTCTATTTTATCGATATGAAAAGATAAATGCAAGCTGAACCTAATGTGAATATACTATAAAGGTTTTGGCAAATGACCTCTCTGTGCTCTCAGCAGAGGAGTGCAAGGTCATCTGCACACACCTGAGGTCTCAAACAGTTATGCAAAACTGATGCCTGCTCTACAGGCAGCCTATTCACCACCACTGATGACCAAGAACTTGGTTAACTCCAGTTTTGCATGTTTGCAGTGCATACTTTAGAAAGGAAGAGACTGAGTTCTGCATTGCCTTCCTCCAGCAATAGTATAATTTTAGGTCAGGGAAACATAGAACTAGAAGCCCTGCCTATCTAGAATAATTACATTTCTAAAGTCAATGACATACTGTTCCTACCTATAAAAACTAAATTCATATTTGTGTTTGCTGGAACAGTTCTCTCAAAATAAAATCTATCAAACTGCTTCCTGGGTTTTTTGATGAATTAATAAACTCTTTGTCTAACTATCGTTGAGATTTTATTTCCAGTTAACACTAACATGGTAATTATTTCGCACTATATGTGTATCAAACCATCATGCTGCACTCCTTAAATTTACACAGATATATATGTCTCAATAAATTCTCGATGAATAATGATTTCTCAATGAAACTGGAAAAAAATTTCTACACAATTATGGAAGCATGATCAATCTTTATATAGTAAGCAAACAAGTAGGCAAAATTTTATACTATTACTATAGTTATATGAAATGTAAATGTCTATGATAAAAAGGGATAAGGAAATACTCTGAAATAAAAAATGGTTTTTGTGTTAAATAAGGTTTAAAAAAAATCATACTTATTCCTAGGTCCATCTGACCTCATTGAGAAAGAGCCACATTTCTCTGACTTCTGCTAAATAACACCCTGGGGTAAATGGTCATTGATCGGATATTGAGAGAAGAGGTCACTGGCCTGATATTGAAGGTCAGAGAGAAAAGAATGATGTGGCAAAATAAGACTTACTCATGGACAGCAAGGTATTAAAAACCAATCACTCTGAGAGAACTCAAAGTTTTCCATATTATCAAAATGAGTAATTTGTAGGAAAATGGCTTAAAAAAATCTAGAAAGGTATGTGGAGCGTCACTTCCCAAAGGGCAAAACTTGGGAAGTGCTACTGGAGAAGGCAAAGGAAAACACTTAGATTATACAAATATTACTCTGGATAATGGACTGAAGCAGAAATAAAATGGAGACAAGAAGAAATTAGTTAAGAGGCTCTTGTAATAACTTAGGAAAGGAGTAATATGGAACTTATTTGAAATACAGTGTAGAAACAAAATTATACTTAGTTGTAAGTACATGTGGAAGCTCAACTGGAGAAGAGTCTAAGTTTCTAGCTCAGCAAATGTATATAAAGTGAATATAAGTAATAAAACAGAAAGAGCAGGTTTTAAGCTGGAACCCATGGACCATATGGGGGAGTAACCCTACTAAGTCTCAGCTGGTAACAGGACATACAGACAGAAATGAGTAACCTGCATGGGTCTACATCTAAAAAGAGAGAACTAGGCTACTGATGGAACTTAGCAGAAAGATGGTCATAAGCAGAAAGATGGTAATTGAACACACAGATGACGAAATCATTCATATAAGTATTAGAGTGTGGAGGAGGAAGAGACACAGACAGAACTCTGAAAAAAGACAAAGGCAAACTGAGGAAGCAAAACTTTGAGAAATGGGTGAGTAATTTTCCTCACAGAAGAGGAAAATTAGATAAAATAAGGTGTTAGGGAAGGAAGGCAGGGGCTGCAGCGCCATATCACAGAGGAGTAAGAAATCAATGAAAAACCCCTTACAGCATTTGAAAACTAGAAAGCATTCACTGACAGGAACACTCACAATGGAGTGCAGATAAAAGAGAAACTATGGAATCAGTGGCAAGACAGGCAGCAGGAAGGCCAGGTAAGAGGAGGAGGCACTGCATCATCCAAGGAAGAAATGACTCTTTCAAAAACAAGGAAATGACAAAAGGCAAATGGCTCTCTTCCTGAGAAAGCCTATAGAAGAGTGCACAATACTGACCAAGGCAAGGCTGATATATACACTGTACGTAGCTTCAACTGGAGACACCAATACGCAGTTGGGTATACAAGTCTAATAGCAGAGAGACAAATCAAAGAATTTTATTGACTTGGAGGGTAATTTAATTTGAAAATGACTTTACTTTTTAAAAAAGTCTCTCAGTTCCAATTTTTAGTGATAATTTAATTTAGATAGGTATTATCTAAATGATTTAGGGATTTAATTGTGATTTAGCACATCCAGTAATTGCAACAGCAACAAATACATAAAAATTAAAGGTAATACCATAGCTTTCCAAAAAGGAATGGAGTGAGGGGCTATGATACAGAAAGGTAGCAAAAGCAGTAACGTAATGTTAAAATTCCACTGGTCAGCCTCCAGATTGTGGTCAATACCACAGACTGTGGTCAATATCACACAAATCCCATGTGATAAAACTACATAGAAGTAAACATTTCCACAAATGAGTACATGTAAAACCCGTGAAATCCACATGGATTATATCAATGTAAATTTCCCATTTGCCTTATTGTAGTGCAGTTACATGTTTCTGCTGGGGGAAACTGGGTAAAGGGTTCATGATACATCTAAGTATTATTTCTTACAACTGCATGCAAATCTACAATTATCAAGATAGATTATCAATTTACAAAAAATTAACAGTAACAAAGCTAGATGTACAACTGGAAAATACTGTCTTCAAAAACTCAGGGTAAACGCTCTCTAGAGACAGTTTCTCTGGCTCAGTAATTCTCAACCAGTTTTCTCAGTCAGTGGGCAAGGGTGGGGGTGGGAGGTTATGTAGTGAAGGGGAATCTAAGTATTAGAGCTAATAACCACACTCCCATTCCCTGAACATACAACTACACACCAGAATTTCTATGTGTGAAAGGAGGCTGCAGGACAGGAATCAAAAACACGCACACACATAAAACACACACACATATATGTATGTGTGTCTATATATGCTGATACAGATAAAAATACCAAAAGAATACAAACCCCCAATTTTTATTTATTAAGTCATAAGTTTTTTCCCTTGACATATTTCCATATTTTAAGAAGTTTTCTACTACTTTTGTCGTTGGGGGAAGGGAATAAGCAACACCAATAAATATTTTTTTTTTAAAGATTTATTTATTTATACAAGAACCAGGGCACAGGCCAGATGCGCGGGAGGGTGAGAGGATTCACCAGAGACAGAGCAGGGAACAGAACAAGCAGACTGACAAAATACACTGCTAAGGGGAGCACCTGGCGAGACAGGAGAGGTCTGTGGCACCACGTGGGATTCTTGCCAGCTGGCTGGCCAGGATCAAACCGGCACTGCAGAGGCTGCGGATAGCCTCACAGCACTGCGCTCAACAGCCTGCGCCACCAGGGGAGGCCCAACACCAATAAATATTTTAACTAATACTTATAAAGATTATATAATAAAATGAAATGCATGCACATATGAATACAATAAATGCATTTATGATTGCAATCACTTTAAAGAAAAATTATGAACAAGGAAAGAAAAACAGTTGGTAAGAAATACAACAAAATAACTGTGGCTGTGTTTTAAAGATGAAATAATTACAGGCAATTTATTTCCCTTCCTTTAGTCTGTGCTTTTAAATTTTTGAGGAATGTATCAGTATGAAAGCAAATCACAGCACTCATCAACCCTGATCCCAAACTTTCCCTTTCATTGTATCCTGCCTCCTAAAACAAACCAATAAATGTACACATGCACACAAACCCAGAAGTACTTACATGGGCTTACATCTCTGTATCTGTTTCGATTTCTGTTTTCTGGAAACTTGGCCACTTTATGAGGATAGTCATGGGACTCATTGCGAATTTCCTTAAAATAACAAAAATATATTTTAATATTCCTCCTAATTTTTATACAGCAAAGCAGATACTTTCCTAGCCAGTATAAAATAGCATGCAGTGGAGACTTACGATATGCCAAGTACTGTGCAAAGTACATTCTCCACATCATCTCATTCAATCCTTATCTCATACACTAATGAGAACAATTATCTTCCCCATTTTATATGTGATGAGAGGCTTTGGGAGGTTAAACAATCTGCCAGAGGCTAAAATGCTTGTAAAAGGTAGATCCAGGACAGCCAAAATCTTTCAGGCACTGAAGTCTTTGCTCTTGATCTATTTATTTACTGACACTCTATCTTCAACATCTACAAGCAAAGATCAATGCATGGAGGTATCTAAGGTTAGCCACATCATAATCAAGTTTCTGACTAAATTCTCAGTAAGTAATATCTACTTACATTTTAGAGTTGCTATCTTAAAACTTTAATCTGTTTCTTCACCTTCATGTCATATAACTTTACTTTGAGCCCAAAAATACACCTAAGTTTTATTTCTAGAGCTATAAGTGCTTAACAACAACTAGTTAGTTCTGAGGCTCATTTCAGGTTCCTTATGTTCCTCTTATTGCACAGTGGAAGAAATTGTTTGTCTGTACTAGGTACTCAGCTACATGGTGAATCCAACGTGACCATATATACCGCACATCCCTTTCCCCACCCCCACCTAATAGAACATTATTCTAAGAATTTAGGTAAAAGCATAATCTCTCTCTCTCTCTCTCTCTCTCTCACACACACACACACACACACAAACCAGAAAACAAGAGTGTATATAAACAGTAAAACTTACATTGGGCTTTTGTTCACACAAGTGCAAAAATGCATTTTAAATGTCAGGCACCAGATAGTCTTATAAATTACGGATAAGTTATTTAACTCATTTATGAATGCCCTTACTGGGGGTTCTCCACACTTTTACATACCACCCCCACCAGCCCTAAGACAGGTAACTTTGTAGTTGGTATCTTTACTCTTTAGGTCTTAAGCGATGCAGAGTCTGAGTCTCTAACAAAATCCACTGATACACATTACAATTGTTGCTATGACTTTTTAATACTCTCACATCCAGCAATCTTGCTGAGATCTCTAATATTCTGTAGCCAGTTCTAAATTTCTCAATATCAGCAAACAGTGGTAATTTTGTCTCCTCGTTATACTTTTCTTTTTTATTCATAACTCATTTTTTACTATATAATTGCATTGGCTAGGACTGCTTATACAGTATTTTTTCCCTGATTTTGAAGGAACTGTTTCTAAGGTTTAACCACTAAGTAAAATATTTAAGTTTTTAATCAATGACCCTTTTCAGGTGAAGAAGGATACCTTCAATTTTTAGTTTGCTAAAGTTTTTAATCACAAATAATGCTGACTCTTATTCCGTGTTCCTCCTGCACTGAAGGAGATGACCATACAGCTTTTCACTTTTAATCTGGTAATGTACTGAATCACAATAACAGATTTTCACATTCAAGGTCCCTGCATGGTCTTTTTCATGGCTTCATACCACATTTCTTGTTAGTGCTGAATAATACCGCATCATTATTTTATTTAAAGATTTATGCATCATTAAAGTGAAGTGACTGCTAAGACTCACACTTCTCAATTATAAAACTTAAAACTTACTGAAAAACTACAGAAATCAAAACCACATGGTATGGCATAAAGATAAAGATAAATGCCCTAGAATACAGAGTTCAGAAATAAATCCTTAGATCTATAGTCAACTGGTTTTCAACAAAGGAGCCAAGACCATGTAATATGGAACAGTCTTTTCAAATAGTCCCGGAAAAACTGGATATCCACATGTAAAAAGTACAAAGTTGGACCTTTACCTTGTACCATAAATAAACATTCACTGAAGAATTGTTCGAAGACCTAAATGTTAAGAGCTAAATCTATAAAACTCAAAAGAAAACAGAGGAAGTGGAAAACCTTCACAATTCTGGATTTGGCAATGATTTTTTAAAGGATAACAACAAAATCAAAGGCAACAACAGAAAAATAACCTGGACTTCATGAAAATCAAAAACTCAATAGCTAGTGAGTGAAAAAAAACCTCCACAAATTGGGAGAAAATATTTGCAAATCATATATCTGAGAAGGGGTTAGTTACCAAAATATATAAAAAATTCTTACAACAAAAGGGCAAGAAAAGGACAAAGACACTTAATTAGGATGGCCAAATTCTGAAACACTGACAACACCAAATCCTAGCAAGGATGTAGAACAACAGAAATTGTTACTGCCGGTATGAATGCTATTGATAAATGGCAAGGTTACTTTGGAAGACAGCTTGGAAGTTTCTTATAAAACTAAACATACACTTATTATATGATTCAGCAATCACATTCCCTGGATTCACCCCAAAGAGATGAAAATTTAAGTCCACCCATGGATTTTATAGTATCTTTATTCACAGGTGCCAAAACTTGGAAACAACGAAGATTGTCAATAGGTCAATGGACTATAACCTGTAAACTGTAGTACACTGGTACAGTAGAATATTATCCAAGAAATTAAGAAAATTAGCTATCAAGTTACAAAAAGACAACAGAGGAAACTTAAACATATATTACTAAGAAATGCATATTGCTAAGATTTTCAATACATATTAAGTGAAAAAAAGGTGTAAAATAGTATGTAAATAATATTTATTTCATAAGAGTGGACAGGAGGAGGGAGGCAGGTATGGAAGGCACTAACATATGGATAGAGTAACTCTGGGAAGATACACAAGAAAGCATACAGTGATCTCCTAGAAGAAAGGAATTAGGAAAATTATAGGTAGTGACTTACTTTTTCTTTACATATCCATCTTTATGGTTTTAATTATCGCCACATTCAAAATTCATTTATTGAAACACAGACTCTAGAGTTAAGTCCTGGAGTCCTATAAGTCTGTTACTTAACGAAAACACAAATTTGGAAATACAGAGACACAGTTTTCTCATTTGTAGCCATCTTAGATAATCCACATAACATATATACTACATGGCTCATACAAAACTGGTTCAGTCAAGGTAAACTATTTCATTCTCATTAAACTCTTCCTCAAAAAGGGGAGCTTCTCAAAGAGAATACATAAAACTTATTCCACCAGGAGACTTCTTTCTCCAGTGATGGATATATAAAGGTTTATAACCAAGCCTTGAACACTCCAGAATAATAAATATCTTTTGCAAGATATTTAGCTCCATAATTTATGCTGTCCCTCCACAGAAAATCTTTACATTAAGCATAAGCACGAACATTTGGCTAATAAAAACAGAGTGAACACTTACCATCAGGATTCGCACTTACAGACTTTAACAAAGAAATTTAAGTATGTTCTCCCATAAGTAGAAACTCATCAAGTTGAGATTATGTTTTAGAATTATTCTAAAGTCCTACTTTTTTCTTATAAAATTACTGTTTACTCTTACTCAATTTCCTAAATTTTTATTTGCTGTTCCATCAAAACAGTTCAAGGTAGAACATTCTACAGAAAAAGGATATAAAGTTTTCTGTACACTATATGAAACAAAGCTCTGCACCAATACTAAAGTATTACTTTATATTATACAATAATAAAGTATTATGAGATACTATTTTACTGTGACAATAATAAAAACTTGATTCAGCAAGATGGTGTAGTGGAGGAATGGGCACAGAGTAGGTTTTCTATGATTTGAGCAGACGGGTGAAGAAGTCCTGGAGCCCTCAGTGACTTTTATTAGGATTTACCAGGCACACAGCAGGCAGGGGTGCTGGGGGGCCGGGAGGCTGGCAGGACTCCCAGCCCCCAGCAAGTCTTCACTCTTTCTGGGCTCTCCAGCATTCTCTCTTTTGCTCTTGTTCTCTCTGCTTCTCGTGGTTCTGCTTTTGGCGTCCCCATGACGCCGTCCTTATAAGCCCAGCCTTAGCCCAGGTGAATCCCATCTACATATGCCCACACCCTATTCCAGGTGCCCGCCATCAGGCATGCATTCAGGACCACAAGGATCCATCATCATTCCTAATGGCGGGAGGGCAGAAAAGCCTGATACTTTTTATTTACCCTACAGATGGTAACAGAATGAAGATGCCAGGCTTTCCTCTTTCACATATTCACAACTAACTAGAGCAGAGCAAAGTCAACAACCATGAAAGATAAGTGGAGGAATACCACAGATCAGGAAACACCTATGTTTCTGATAAGAAATGGATAGCAAAAATTAATTGAACTGTGTCTGTAGCAATACTACGGTTTTATCTCAGAGGCGCATATCCACATTGAAGACTGGAGACCTGGCACTGCACTGGATAAGGGGGGTACACAGAAATGGCATCCAGATTACTGGCTTGCACCTGAGGTTCCCAATATAGAAGAGCTGGAGCCCAAAATGGGGGGAGGGGGGGTTAGTTAAGATCACCTGTCTCTCCTCATAGTCAATACTATTATTTACAGCTTGTGATATTCAAAACACCTGCCTTACTCCCAACATTCCAGGGTAAAAACCAAGGAATCAACTGAATGCTTTCATTAACCAGAGCTTACACACCACTTGCATTTTGATAACAGGAGCAAGGACTCCAGGGTAAGGTTCTGTACTGGCAAAACAGCTTGTGGGCCCTTCTCAATAATCCAAACCAAGTGCTGCACCTAATGCATAGGCTAAGCGGTAGAAAGTGAGGTTGACAAGAGACTATCCAACACATGTTGGTGGAGGAGTTGGCATAGAAGAGATCACTGTGGATTCCCATCATACAACTGCAATGCCTACAGCACAGTAGGAAGTTTGAATCTCTGAAGCTCAGTAGAGATCATCTTCAGTGCCCTACTGACACTTCAGTGCTCGACTGCTCCAGTTCCTTTCTACCTATTTGCCTTTCTGATACCAGTTCACCCACCACCCAAATAGGTGCAATGGCAATAGTCTAAGAGTTTATCCCTTTTACAACCCATAAAAAATAAAACTGGACCCCAAAAAAGTATCTCAAATGTTGA